TAATAATAGTAATAGTAATAGTAATAGTAATAGTAATAGTAATAGTAATAGTAATAGTAATAGTAATAATTCATACTTATGGGAACCTTTTCCAGGGTTTTCTAAGTAGAGAATATAGGCAAATTTGACAAGCTACGGAAAAGCAAAACTGATTGCCTGTTTTACACTCTCTATAAACTAATCTTATTCATTGTTATTTGTTTCAGAATGATTATTTTACGCTTTTCTGATTGCTTATATTTATTTATACATGCGATGTTCACTATCGTCATTTAAGAGTACTTTTAATTTCTTTCTATGTGTACAACCTGACTGGCTGTGGAGCCACAGCCGGTGACTTCTCGGCAGTTTCTCAGCCAGCGCTTTCAGAGAAGGCAAGAAAAGATGTTATTTTATTTTTTTAAAAGCTGATGAAGCACATCAGCAATAGTCCATAGTCACTGTTCTCCCTGGGGAGTCATGCACTGCACTCCACACCCGGCCGTCACCTGGGCATTGTTGATCTACCTTACCTCAGCCAGCAGCAGGCCTTGAAGAGATAAAAGAAAGGAGAAAGTGACAGCGAGGAGGAGAGGCACTGCTTTGATCTGTCAAATCAAAACCCATGCGAGAGAGTCAATAATCAGTCCCACGTTCCTCCTTGCACTCAATCCTAAGAGAAATAAAGATTCAGCATAGCTGGGGGGAAAGGAAGATAATTCTAGAACGTACCCGGTCCAGCAAGCAGTGTAGCCAGGATGTGAAATTGCTGCTTGTTGTGGTGAATGGAGATACTGTACAGTATATATACAGTCTGGTCAGCTCAGTCCCAGCCCTCCCTAAGAACTGGAATCTCTGTGGGAGGGGTTGCCTTTCAGGAGGACATCAGCTGTCAATCTCCTTTTTACTTTGGTGCAACTGAAGCTGAGCATCCTCCCACCCCACAAATTCCAGCATTTCTCATCCCATCCCACCCCCACAAACACAGGAGCAAACTTTAGTGATTCGTAGAGGAACACGTGTCGACCTGGGCCGTCTTGCAGCTGATCCAGAAATCCAGCAATAAATCTGGTCTGCCCTGTTTTGGGCACTAATCTGCTGCACACTTCTGCTTTAAAGCCTTGTCACATACAACGTTCGACCTTTCCCTCTGCTAGAACTGCTTCCTTTCAGATTTATCTCCCCATCTGAAGACCTAGGGAAGCGTATCAATGTCCCGAGACTTCAGACGCTACCTTGAGACAAGTCAACTCTCTTCGTGTACACAACATTCTGTCTGTCTCTGGGTGCTGTCTCAGTGGCTGAGGTTGGCTACTATCATGCCATATCTCCACCTACCTCTCTCACTGTGTGGAGTAGTTGTTCTTTATTAAGGTCCAACCAGTCTTTGATGTCAGTAATCCAAGAAACCTTCTACCGCTTCCACATTTATCCTTGATCTTCCCTTCGATCCTGTATCGCGGTACATTTGTCACGATGAATTACGTGTCCAAGATATGAGAGCTTGCATTTCTTAATAATACACTCGATTTATTTTTGATTTTGTTCTGTGGGTTGAGGTTGCTGTTTCGTTTCCTTACCAAATTAGCCTCCCCCTCCCCTTTTTGGGTATGTGGAATAATTTGCTCCTTGACTCCACCCACCTGTTTCTCGGTGCGTCCTTGACTTCTGGGTAGCCTTACAGAATGGCATAATAAATGGGTTTTTTTGCATGAGTTGCTCTGGCCAAATGTTGCACAATTCCTCAAGGCCTTCAGACAGGGACTAACATTATTAGTGTTCAGATTAATGTAAGACCTTGGAGTTTCTCTCTGGTTATATTTATTTTCTTTATCTCAGTTACGTGCAGTTCCTGTCCTATTTACCATAGCAAAATGTCCTCATAATAAAAATGATAATGTGCTGTCCAGTCAGTTCAGACTTATGGTGACCTTTTCCACAGTTTTTAGGTAAAGAACTCAGAAGTGGTTAACCCTTCCCTTCATCTGAGGGCACTTTGAGACTGTGCAGCTTGACCAAGGCCACGCAGGCTGGCTCTTCTTTCAAGAAACATGGTAGGGAATCGAACTCCCAACCTTGACTCACTGAGTTATTCAGTCTGTATCCCAGTAATACCATTGGATTTCTCATGGGTCACTTGGTAACTAAGGCAAAATCCAAAGGAACAAAACAAAACAAAAGACGAAACCATGTGGCACCTTAAAGACTAACTATTATATTTTAATGTGAGCTTTTGCGGATCATGCCTGCTTCATCAGACATGGTGTTTGTGTGCAAATGAAATGCAGAATGAAATTTGTGTGAAGAAGTGGACATGATCCAAAAATGCTCACATTAAAATATAATAGTCTTTAAGGTGCCACACACTTTTGTCTTGTTTTGTTTCTTTGGCTTTTGCCAGATATTCTTGTACAGATTAATATGGCTACTTCTTCTAAAACTGTCAAGTAAGGACATCTAACTTTCAGCTCTGTGGAAATGAGAGGAAAAATAAAGAAAGAAAGAAAATGCTTACAAAGGATTTGTGTGGAGGAGAAAGAAGGGTTCTTCTTTGCCCTTGACAGTTTCTTGGCGTCTGTTTCCCCCCACTGTTCTTTGTATTTCAAAATGTGTTTTAAGATTTTTGTGATTTTTTGCTTTACTTTCTGTACACCACACAGAGTAGCAATTTGCTAGATGGGCAGTATAAAAATTGAATCAATCAATCTGTCATTGACAGGCAAATGAGTGACTCATGGACTAAATGGGGAGGTAGATCTCCTGCCATGTTATCACATTATTCACCTTTTCCTGCTGGCAAATGTTGGCATGATATTGTAAGACAATGTCAGGCCATGTCTTGGCATTTTGAATCAATTTCTACAGGTGGAGCTGTGTGAGCATATATGTATACTGAGCAGGTTGCAAGCCATAGTTTGGCAACATGTTTTTTTTAATGCAATGTGTCCCATACAAAGTGCTGGTAGTTCTTGGTGTGTATGTGTATGTGTGTGTATGATTTCAATGCCTAATATGAGGTTTCAGGATTGTAGCCTAGAACTTCCGTGGCCTGATTTTATTTTCCCAGGTTAACCGCTTTCCTTGCCTCACTCTGTCTGTCTCTGTGTATCTGAGGAAGTGGGCTGAAGCCCATGAATGTTTATGCCATGTGAAACGGATTTGTCTTTAAGGTGTTTTAAGAGTTTCCCCTGGCATTATTTACGCAAATAAAGTAATTAGCACTATCATGCTAACTTTCTGTTTTGAGCGGAGGACATTCCTGGTCCTAAGAACAGAAAAGGCAAAGCACATCACAGTATGGGCTGACAGATAGAATAGTGCCATCTGTAATAGTCCTTTAGTAATGTTAGGCTATATCATGTTTTGTAGATTTCTGTAAAAAGTTCAATGGTTAAGAACCGGCTCAGGTGTTATGATCATCAGAAGAAGCCTTTCTCTCAGTCTCACCACCTTCACAGGTGTGTTTGGTGGGGACACAGAAGAGGGCCTTCTCTGTTACTACACCACCTTCACAGGTGTGTCTAAAAGGGACACAGGAGACGGCCTTCTCTGTTCTTACTCTCAGACTCTGGAACTCCCTCCCACAGGAGGCCAGGCTGGTTCTCCATCTTGGTTCTTCTTCCACAAGCTGACAAGGACCTTTCTCTTCAGGCACACTTTCTCTCTGTGACTGGCTACACACTGGAACTCCCTCCCACAGGAGGCCAGGCTGGTTCTCCAACTTGGCTCTTCTTCCACAAGCAGACAAGGACCTTTCTCTTCAGGCACACTTCCTCTCTGTGACTGGCTACACGAGTGACTGGCTACACGAATGACTTTTAGATGGACTGTTATACATCGAGTGCTATTTGTTTGTTCCTTTTCAGTATTTGTATACTTACTGTTTCAGCTCTCCCACAGGAGGCCAGGCTGGTTCTCCAACTTGGCTCTTCTTCCACAAGCAGACAAGGACCTTTCTCTTCAGGCACACTTCCTCTCTGTGACTGGCTACACGAGTGACTGGCTACACGAATGACTTTTAGATGGACTGTTATACATCGAGTGCTATTTGTTTGTTCCTTTTCAGTATTTGTATACTTACTGTTTCAGCTATAATATGGTCTTTTAATGATGTCATCCATCGTATATTCATTGTTTTCAGCTTTAAATATTGTCTTTCAATGATGTAAGCCGCCTTGGGTCCTTTTTAAGGAAAAGCGGGGCAAAAATATTTTAAATAAATAAAAGAAATAAATAAGAAGTTGATCATTCTAAATTACATCCCTGAGATGTGCTTACTTGAAAAAAATCCTGTCTTTATACTTTTGTTTTTGGCCTTTTGTGGTTGTTGTTTTCCTATAAAAGCCTACCTGTCAGTTATCATCTTGGATGCCATACTTAATAAGTATGCAAGTGAGTATGCTTTCTGGGCCAGGATCCAGAACACGACCAAACAGCCCGAAAAACCTACAACCACCATGAGTATGCTTTCTCCGCTAATGTAATAGACAGCCTTTCTTATGCCTCGTGCCTCCAAGGTTATTTCCTAAGTTAAAAAGTTTTGACATCACTCCTGTTTCTGGATCTTTTCGGAGCGTTTTACATGTGCTGACATAACCTGCAGAGCCAGTGCAAGAAATGTGTTTCATCGTTTTGTGGCGTGGTCGCCCATGATGCTTGGCAAGCACTCTTGATGTCTGTCACCCTGACTGTCACAGTTTAGTCCTCGTATCTTATCTAAGACAAGATGAATCTGCCAGCAAGGTCTATGATCGATGGAATACAGAGAAGGGCCTCAAGTGAAGGACACCAAGAGGCTCAGGACAGACGCGGTTATCTCAGGGTAGGATTACATTGGAGGGCGACATCAACATGGTTTGGCTTTGCTCCAGTTTGATTAGCAGCCTGTATTATGTCTGAAATCACAATCCGTGCTCACACAGGGGTTGCAGATTGTTCCAAGAGTTTGCCACTCATGCTAGTTGCCATGCAAGTCACATTCCAGCCCACAACCACCTTTTTTCTTCTTCTTTCCTTCTTTTGTTCCAATCTCTGCCAATCATTTTATGCTTCTCTGTGATGCTGGGAAAGGGTTAAAAAGCGTGCCAGAAAAGGTGGCCATTTCTACCCTGGATTCCCCGCCTCGGACACAGCAAAGAAGTGTGATGCTGGGAAAGGGTTAAAAAGCGTGGCCATTTCTACCCTGGATTCCCAGCCTCGGACACAGCAAAGAAATCACATGTGTACACAGACACACAGGCATACACACACAGAGGCAGAGCCGAAAGTGTACGGAGGAGAGGGGTGCAGTGCAGAGGATATTGGCTGGACTGCCTGTACGCACAACACACGTGTCTTCTCTCCATGACTGCTGATCCCTAGGTATTCTGAGTGATTTGTCTCTATTAAAATGACTTATGTGTCAGTGAGATGCCAGCCCCTATGCAAAGGTGACTAACTTTCTGGCACATAAAGGAGCTTCCTTTATGACAGCTGGCAGGGTGTGTGTGTGTGTGTGTATGTGTGTCTGTAATGAAAGAGCAAATGAAGGAGAGAGAGAAAGAATTTCGGACAAACATTTGCAGGTTTCCATGATTCTTTGCACTCTCCTACTGCAACACACACACATTTCTATTGATGCTGTCTGTGAAATGAGGGGCATAAATGCAGGGAAGATTAATAACCATGACCGAGCAATAAGATGATCGGGCAACTTAGCGCTAATCTCATCTATGTTAGGGGAAAAAAATCAGAGGATGATGGGAGGAGGGGAGCAGAAAGAATGTCTGTCTCTGTGTGTGTGTGTGTGTGTGTGTGTGTGTGTGTGTGTGTGTGTGTGTGTGTGTGTGTGTGTGTGTGTGTGTG